TCAAACGACTTTTTAAACTATAGTAAACCCTATGAGAAAAATACATGCGGTTTAATGCTAATGAGAAATAGCAATGCTTCACAATGTTATTCAATAGAAAAACCTTAAAATCCTTTTTAAAGACATTCTCTTTTAATTGTCATTATTTATTGAATAATAATTTAATTAAATTGAATTGAATTGTTCATATTTTACTCTACGATAATCAGGCTTTTAAATGATATATAACTTTCAGTATTATTTATAAAGTACTTCAAACTTTTTTAAAACTTATAAAAATTAATACAAAATAATTTTTCCCTGCTTGGGGCGCGACCTCATGTCCTCCTATACACCTCCTTTTAGGCGGTCTTTAGATCCCTCCTATTGATTAACCTGTAATTGGCTATTGTTAGGCAGACACTAACCGCTACACCACCCTAGTCAATTTGGCTATTAATTTTGACGGCAATTTAAATTACAATTAATTTTTATATTAAATTGTTTACAAATCGTAATACAAAATATTGTATTAATATTTTATACTTAAATATAAGTATAAGTTATAAACTGTAAACTATTAATATTTATATATTTCAATAAAACAAAATTTTAACACTAAAAAACATCGAGAATATTTTATGTTTTATATATATATTATATAAAAGTCAATTTTTTAACTTCAAAGTCGTTTAAATTCATTTTTTGTAGACCCTGTAGATATCGATAGTAATCGAGAAAGATTAATTATAACCATTATACTACGTGGTCATAGTCATAAACTTTTAAACTTAGCTTGCCTAATCATACAAATATATTATTTATTGTTCAAACAGCACTTTACTTTTGAGTATTTATAAGAATTTATAAACATTAAATCATATATTTGTAAGAATAAGCAAGCTAACAATGCGTTCCTTTCAAGTGTTATTCAGTTAATTAAATAAAATAAACTGGATTATACTCGTATGGTATGGTATAATAAGACTATCAAGGTTCGGTAATCTAGCGGGATGTTTTAGATGTCCAAATCGGTGATTATATTCTTGACGTGCTATACATTTTTGCATTGAAATATATTCATTCCTAGTATTGTAACTCTGACTCGTATAGTATGAGTAGTTGAATAAGTTTTTATAGCAAAAATGTATAGAGTTTTTATAGCGCGCCCCTAATATAATCACCGATTTGGACATCTAAGACACCCAGCTATATTACCGGACCTGGATAATCTTATTATACCATACCATACGAGTATAATCCAGTTTATTTAATTTAATTAACTGAATAACACTTGAAGGGAACGCATTGTAAGTTTAAAAGTTTATGACTATGACTACGTAGTATAATGATTATAATTAATCTTTCTCGATTACTATCAATATCTATAAATACCATAATAATGTGTTTATTTCATATTCCATCAAATATGATATATCCTTTACACATAAGAAACTTTCAATTAAAGCTCATTTAAATATGTAGTCTGTAGTCACATCTGTAGTCATAATATAAGCCCATAATTTTGACAAACTTAAAATCTGCCCATTTTGAAAGATTTAATGTATAAGAATCTATATAAAAGAGTTTATATTCAATATTCAAAAGATTTTCTAAAACTATTTTATATTCTCTATAAAGATATATAAAGTAATATATACCTAATAAATTTAATTATAATTAATATTTTCTTAATACTGATATTTATTATGAAATTTTAATTATGAATTGGATTAAAATTTTAAAAATTGAATATTTATTATGAATTTTATAATTAGTGCAATTGATGTAACAAATAAATGCACAAATAAATAATTTCAATGAAATTGTCAATAAATATTTTGACAGGTAAGCTATAAATCATATATCTAAAATTAGATTCTGCAATTACATTAAATATCAAATGTTTCAAAACTATGTGCCAATTATTATTGGAAATAATTTTTAAATAAAATATTTTTAATTTAACTTTTAAAAGAAGCTAAAAATGAATGAATTGGGAAATAAATACAACTAGATATCTTAATAAAAAATACTTATAATGTACAAAATACTGGTATAATAATGTTTAATAACTCATTGTATCCTCTCAATTATATACAACATTATAAATATCTTTTTAGATGTTATTTCTATTGCTTATTATAATTATCACAGAAAAGGATAGAAATTATTGAAAGTTAATTGGAAAAACAAATTGTATTAAAAGGGTTTGTAAATTATAAATATAAATATCTGTTTAAATCTCATATACAGTATGTTTTCATCAATAGGGTATACAACAGGGCCTAAACAGAATGCCTAAACAACAAAAACCGTTAGATTTGAATTTTAAAATTGAACACAGAAAATTGTATAAAGACTGATTACTGGATATTACAAAAATAGAATGTAGTATTAAACTTTTTGTTAATTAATAAAATTCTATAAAGAAATTAATTTAATTCTTTTAAATTTGGTAACTATAATAATTTAATTGTTAACTGAATTAACTTTATAAGGAACTGACTTAAAATAATCATGGACTAAATTAACTTTATAGGATAAAACTAAGTAATTTGTTAAATTAAATTAAATTAATTTGGTTAATTTAGTCGATGATTAATTAATTTAATCTATAATTAAGTTTATGATTAAATTAATTTAGTTACCAAATTTAAAAGAATTAAATTAATTTATTTAAGAATTTTATTAATTTACAAGAAGTTTAATACTATATTCTATTTATGTAAAATCCAGTAAGCGTCATAAACAAAGTACGTACGCAAAATTTTGGTCAAAAATTGACCCCCTCCCCCTACATGTCCATCGTACATAGGAGTTTAACATGGGGACATAAACTTTGACATGATCCCCTCCCCCTAATCGTGCGCATGTACTTTGTGGATCACGCTTAATCAGTCTTTATACAATTTTATGTGTACAAATTTTAAAATTCAAATCCAACGGTTTTTTGTTTGGGCATTCTGACACTTTGGTATACAATGTATACTATACATATTATAATAAAGGAAAATATTATTTTCACGATTATACATTTGAGAATAGCGTATATACTATATGTAGACAATCCCTGTGAACTAAATGCAATCTGAACGGGAAATCTATGGAAAGTGTGGTTTTCCTCTTAGTTATGCGATGTGTTTGTATTGGAGAGAGATATTAAAAATGACGATTTAATGTCATATTTGCTCAATATTCATAATATGCCACTTTTAATGTCCTTCTAATATATATGTAATAAAATTTAGTCAAACCAATAATAATAAAACTAGTTAAATATAATTTTGATAAATGGTAAATAATTAAATTTTGTAGATTAAACTATACATTGGATTAATAAATCTTATGATCTTATATTAAAAAATTGTTATTGAATATTATTAATCTGATAACTATTAGGCCTAAATACTTTCAATAATAAACAAATTCAAACTTAAAATGTACCGTTTTTATAATATTAGATAAAAATGATTTGTTTTCTTAAGAAGAAAGAAAATATTAAAAGTTTACATTACTGTGCACACTGTGATAAAATAAGTTTTAAATTAATTTATACGATAACATTACTATTATAGTGTGCATAGAAATATGAAATTCTTATAATATATATTTAAAGGAGGGATAAAAGAGCACTTATACTGTACTGTGGGATGAGATGTGAATTCTAATGAAAGTTATAGTTTTCAACATTTCTTTCCAATAAGACGTTCAAAAGGACCTTCAATTGAGAAATGGTAGGGAAAGCAGACTATTTGGGATAAATAGCGAGGCATTCAAATCGCTTTTCCAATAGAGCAAACATTTAGTTTAAAGTTAAACTTGTTTTTAAGTCAAATCTTTATTTAAATATATTGTATGACACGGAATGCATTATCACTCAATCATTGATCAAATCAATTTACGTTACTTTAATGTCCAAATAATTTGAACATTGAACAAAAATAATAGTATTGAATGTATAATACTATGATGCTTGCATTTAAAAACTTACTAAATATAACACATTAATGGTTAATATTACAAAATTACAAAATTCTAATAATTCTTTAAATAATTGTTAATCAAATAATAATTATTAAGAAATTGAGATATAATATAAAATTGTAAATAAACAATGAAATAATAATACTGTGAACTAAAGTGTAGTGTGTTGTTGAGCTGTACATCCCGTGGGCTATTATAGTGAAAGGAATGGGAGTACTGTTAGCCCTCATCGTAATTAAAGTCCTGTACTGATCGGTTGCGCAACCAATTAGAAAAACTCCACAATTTCTTTATGAGACTGAAATTCTCTCTCTCTCTCTCTCTCTCCAATACAAACACATCGCATAACTAAGAGGAAAACCACACTTTCCATAGATTTCCCGTTCAGATTGCATTTAGTTCACAGGGATTGTCTACATATAGTATATACGCTATTCTCATTCTCTCTCTCTCACTCTCTCACACACACACACACTCACTCTCTCTCTCTCTCTCTCGAGTCGAAGGCGAAAACCAATGGGAATTTGTTTTCCACTCAAATCTCTTATATTTCTCGTCATTGAAAAGTAATAAAAACAGAAACTTAAGTAAAAAAGAGAAGTACGCTTAATATCTGTGTCTCGTATACTAAATGGTGCTCTTTTTATATAGTGAGCCTGACTTTTAGCAAATTGTATGAAATTATTATATACATTGAATATATTCATTATTATAATATAACAAATAAATTCCACAAAATCTTATTAGTAAAATGCTTTTTTTCAATATAATGATTAAAATGTTTATTAATTGTGAATTGAGTACTTCATTTAGAAAATAATTGGAATTTTATTATTGAAAACAACTTATAAAAGAATTAGAAAAATACAAACACTTGTATTTTACCCCAAAAAAGTATTTTAATAAAAAATATTATTTTATATATATTGGTGAAAATCTATATTATAACTTTAATTGTGAACAAAACATTAAATTTGTATATTTTTGTTGTATAAACTTATATATTTATTTCTTATTTAAACACAAACTGCTAAATGAATTCAATGAATGCAATTATGGAGTCAACGGATTATAACGAAGAGATTGAATTAAAAAACAATGACATCATTGAAGATATAAGTGATGACACGAATAGTCACTCAACAGAACCCAATGGATCAGTCCATACAAGCCGTAAGCAATCGGTTGAAGAATCAACTGATGAGACAGTCGTGTCGTTAAACTATGGACTCAATGAAGGACTCATTCATGCAAACGATTCTATTATTAAAGATATAATAGAAACCCAAGAGGAAGAGGACTCTTCCGATGAATTGAGTCAAACTCGAGGTCCGGTTTTGCCACAAATTAATATCACAAACGAATACTCGGAGGAAGTGATTGAAACGTACGACAAGACAGACGACGACAACGTGTCTATGAATTCAAATAATTCATCAAAGTTTGCAACTTTAGATCCAAACTCAGCCGACAAAGCCTATCAATTCAGACGCGATTCCATACGACAGTCCCTTCAATCAAATCACATTGATTTGGGAAATGCTATTGAAGTGAATAATGTTAGCTTCGGCTACAACAAGAAGGCCAATGTTCTCAACAACATCAGCATTAATGTGCCCAAAGGTATGTCCACTTTCACTATCTAATCATCTAATGTCTGCGACAGAGGTCAGGCACTTTCGGGAGGGGTATATTGCATTTGCTTTGTTTATAAAACTAGTTGATAATAATAAACGTTTCTAGTAAATTCAATTCAATTACAATAAATATATCAAACTTTATAATGTTTATATTTTATTCATTTAGTTTTAATTGAATTAATTTAAAATTGATAAATCTTGTTCCAAAATGATTGAAGGTCTTCTCAGTTACTACTGTAGTACAGTATAATTAAACTACAACATATAATTTAAAATTGTATACCATACTGTTTATAGATTTATTGTCGGACACTAATACTGTAGTACCTTTGATTTAACCAAAACAAGAAAATATTATTTAAAAAGTTTTCCAATAATCGTGACTTTTCTTAGGATCTTTGTTAAATATAAAAATATTCTTGTTATATGGGTGTGTAAAATATTAAACATACATAAAAAAACCATAATATGGTATGAAAAGTTATAATAAATATTCCACTCAAAATAAATTTTATTTATATTAACAACAAATAATTAAAAAGATACAGTATCTGAAGGTTAGCAGTGAAGGCAATTAACGAGTAACTAGTTAATCTATTTAATTTATTATACAACTATAAAATGGATTGTTATATAAAATACTAACAGTAGACATTATTATAGTAAATTTACTACAGTAATAAAATTAATTTAAATAAATAATTTTAAACATTTTATAAATTGTTAATCTGCTAAATCCGACACAAAATAACAGATTGATAGCAATTAATATTCTGACACACCAAATAAAAAGTGTAAAATTATTCATAAATATAACTAAAATCAAATCAAAACCAAAATGACATTCATGTTAATCAATAATTTTTGCGTTGCATTGACTGAAAGTAAAAACTCTTTAAGTGCTAAAAATCAAACTCTTAAGGATTTTTCATAAAATATACTTTTACTTCATTTATTGACTTAATACTTAATACTGTGTAAAAAGAGCTTTACGTCATACACTCATTGAGAAGTTGTGTTAATATTAATTATCGTATTATAAATGCGAACTTTTATTTATCAAATCTATTTTTATAAACCCATCCAAAAATCAATAAATACATTATGTATTACTGAATCTTTTAAAATCTTAATTAAACTAATTATAAGACTTTTCATTATACTTATAATTAATTATAAAATAAAAAATAAAAAACAACATTTTATAAATAAATAAATAAATTATTTTAATACTAATTTAATTTATATGTCTTCACTATTGTTCTCATAATAATGTTCGGTACAGTATAGCAAAATAGCATTGTATTTGAAAAGGGATATTGTTTTAAAAAGTAGTCCAATGATCACAGTATTTAATACAAAATCACATCTATATTTCTAAAATGTTTATATTTGTTAAGAATTTATATAATATAAAACTTTTAACATTTAAAAAATTTGATATTATTAAATCTTTGTCCAACTTTTACAAAGTTTTGTGGAAAAAGAGACTAAATTCGATGTTTAAGTATAGAATAGTGACACATAATATCCTGGCTATATAATACTTGAAATTAACTTGACATGCATTACTGTAAGTGTAATGCATAAAACATTTTTAAAAACTAGCTATAAATTTTAAGCCATTGTAATATAAAATAGTTGTCTACATATTTTATTAGGCCATTGTAATGGCATTTTCAAAAAAATACTTGTCTATTTACAGTATCTTGAATATTTTGTTGAAAAATACAAGTATAATATTTTGGGTTTTCGAGTTGGTCCCACTAATTATAACATTAGCAAACATAAATTAATACAAAGCATGGATACAATATGAAGAAATTAAATGTAAACAATTAAGCCTCAGTTAATGAAGGGTTAATTAGTTATAATGTTATAATTGATGCTTAAATGGTTTGGTTTGCAAAATGTAACGAATATTGTATTGAATTGAAGGCAAGATCTATGCGCTGTTGGGATCGAGCGGTTGCGGCAAAACAACTCTATTAAGGCTTTTGTTGGGAAGAATGAAACCATCAAAAGGAAAGATCAGTGTTTTCGGTGAACAGCCCGGCTGTAAGACATCGCACATCCCGGGGCCGGGTGTCGGGTATATGCCTCAGGAGTTGGCCCTCTTCACGGAGTTCACAATCGAGGAAACCCTCATATATTTCGGTTCATTATATCACATGGATTTAGACCACATTCAGGACAGGATTCAGTTTTTGATTAAATTATTAAATTTGCCGCAAAAGGAGCGCAAAGTGTCTCAACTGAGTGGCGGTCAACAGAGGAGGGCCTCCATCGCAGTGGCGCTCTTCCACGCGCCCCCTCTACTCATATTGGATGAGCCGACCGTACGTACACTTTCTCTATCCATATCAATATGAATGCATGAAAACATCAATGTCCTGCCCTATCAGTCAATTCATATCTTATTTATGAATTCAATATCCACAAATACAGTGTCTATGCACATCACTTTATATGACATTGTCTATTCATACTGTATAAGTATTCTTATTTAATAAGCAGCACAAACTTTGTATTGTATTTTCATATTAGATTTGTTATCTTCAATCTTTATGTTCTATAAGTATTGTCTTCATGTTTTGAAAGGTCTTCAATATATTATGAAGTTATTCAGTATAATAGTCACATACTTTATAATATTATTGTATTACTAGTATAAGTGATTCACCACTATATTGTATATACAGTACTATAAATCAATATATTTCAATAATTATAATTAATAAATTACTGCAATCTTTACGATTGCTAAACAGGTAGGAGTCGATCCACTACTTCGGTGCAGAATTTGGGAATATTTGGAGAGTCTATGCGTCAATGAAAGTGAGTTTTGTAGGATTAGACAATTAAGATGATTCACAATAATTGCTTTATTAACCAAAAGGTATGACTGTTTTAATAACCACTCATTACGTGGAGGAGTCGCGAAACGCACAGACAATAGGATTCTTAAGGTTTGGTCGAATTCTGGCGCAAAGAAGTCCAATAAAACTACTCAATCAATACAATTGTGTCACTCTTGAAGAGGTATTCCTCAAGTTATGTGAAGAGGATTGCGATGATCTCAAGCGCTCAAAAGATCGCATATCATTGCGTCTGGAAAAACACGCCAACAGAAAGAAATCTCTGTTCCCTTCCGACCAAATCAGTCCTTATTTGGACCCCGAGATCGCCGCCAAACTATGGGTCGAACCCAAGTACACCCAAAAACCGATAGACATTCAGCGCATTAAAGCTCTTATACACAAGAATTACCTCAAACTTAAGGGAAACCCAATGCTTGTGTTCTTCTTCTTAATACTACCCGTCATTCAGATAACACTGTTCTGCGAGTCAGTTGTCAAACAACCGGATCAGTTGCCCGTTGCCATCCATAGTCCCGAAGTGAACGGCAATCTCTCCGATGCATTCATTCGCTTCATCGACCAGAAGATGATGAAACTTATCTATCATAAGACACTCGAATCAGCCATTGATTCTGTATACAAAGGAAAGGCCTGGTATGAACTCTCTCTCTCTCTCTCTCAAATAATTGTAAACAGTTTGTTATACAATAATGGTATATTTATGCACGTGATGGACAGGTATGCGATTTCAATGTCAGACAACTTTTCGGATGCGTTTGATATCAGAGCGACAGATGCGGAACATATGACTGACGAGGACATAGAGGAGAGCAAAATAAAGTTGTACCCTGATCACTCAGATAACTTCATTCAGCAATTCATATATCAATCACTGTTCGAGTCGTACCACCAATTCTTGTCCACATATATCACATCTATAGATCTGAATCCGGCCACAGTTTCGTTGCCAATCGCTACACAGGAGCCCATCTATGGGACCATTGAGTACTCGTTGATCAATTCAATAGCTCCGGGAGCTATAGTGGCCATAATATACACAACACCGCTGTTGTTGGCATCCTTTCTAATAGTTTTGGAGCGCAAGGATGGGCTCCTGGAGCGCAGTTTTGTGTCGGGAGTGCGGAGTTTCGAAGTGCTTATATCGCATATGTTTACCCTAATACCGGCCCTCTTAGTACAGGTGTCCCTACTCATGTTCGTCGCCTTTATTGTGTTTGAAGTCAAACTCATGGGTCAGGCGTCCGAAGTGTTTTGGTTGATGTTTCTTCAGGGAACTAATGGTATTATTCTCGGTCTACTCGTCTCAGCCGTCGCGCCCAATGAAGTGGCAGCACTGGTATGTCACACATTCACTCATTTACTAATTCTTGTGTATTATTAACAAATAAACAACAATTATCATATAAGTTAATAATAAAAACATCTAGAAATCATGTGATAATATGTATTAATATTAATGAATTATCAGTTAATGGCATTTGGTTTGGTGTTCCCGATGTGGATGATATGCGGTGTGTTTTGGCCCCTGGATTCAGTTCCTGGTATAATGCGGACCATATTCTACATGGCACCTTTATCACTTCCTATTGAATCCATACGCTATATAATAACCCGGGGCTGGACTATACACTACTTTGATGTGCAGGTGGGATATGCCGTCAGTGGTGTCTATAATATTGTGTTATTTGTTGCAACCGTTTTTATATTTCACTTAAGCTCTTCTGAATAATAAGGAAATCATTGTTTCGATAACTCTTTACTTCTTATTTTCTTAACTTAATTTTGTTCAATCATTTAATTTTCTTTTTTTGCAATAATTATTGAATATGTATTTAAGTATTCTTTTGATTTTATTTAAGAAATATGCCATTAACAATTAAATCGAAAATTATATTAAATAAAAAATTCAATTTGTTCATAAATTATTTTATATATTTAATTTAAAAACTTATATAGTAATAGAAATAAATAATCCTAATTACAATTAAACAAATTGACTTCTTTTTTGTTATTAGCAAATTAATAGTCAATTTTATTAGCACTTAACAATTATATATAATTACATAATATGTTTAAATTATATTCTATCTATATAAATGGATTAATAATGACTGCATTATTATCTCTAATATCAGTATTATATTTAAATTGAATATTGAAAATATTTTGACAAAATATTATGGTTATATAGAGTACTTTATAAACAATCTATACTGTATTATTTATAATTTAATAAATTAATTTTTCACATTATAGTTGTTTACAAAAATATCTATCTAAATGCTTAGTTATCTTCATTATTAAATATTTAAATTCAATTAAAATTTACGATCATTGTTAAAATAGTATACAATGAAATATAAATTAAATTATATCTTATAAATTATATTATATAAATATGGTGAGTAAATATAGTTTACTCAAATTTTTACAATAAACATTAGAAGTTATATAACAAATGAATAATATGGTCAAAAATATGGTTATACTCTGGTATTAATTGTCTCACTGTTTTGGTATGACTTCCGCTTCTCTAATCTTCTCTTCAGAAATATTCGTTTGAAGTCATCCTTTAAATATTCAAAATCACTATTAATTTCCAAAAAATAATATTTTCTATAAAAACACTTTTAAAATTAATAATAGACTACTTATAATATAATGTAACTTATTTAAGATATTGTATACTTATAATAAAGTAGATATGAGTATTTTAAAAAATCAAAATCAGCTTTCTGTGTTTCAGTGCTTGCAGTGTTTATCATGTGTATAACTGGCATTTATTGTAAAAATAAACTTTTAGATTTGTAAGCATTCAAAAGTTACCACAAATCAGAATTTTAAAAATCAGAAAGACTCTTTGTTATACTATAAAACAAATATATACTGTACAATGTTTCCATGAAGTTAAGATTAAGGTTTTAAATACTACATGTACAGACAGAGGGAAAAGTATGGTAATAGAGAAATGTTCTATGGCCTTTACAGTACAAAATATTATCACTATATACACAGATTAATTGATAGTGAATAATTAAATTGATAATTAAAATAAAAATTTTAAAGGTAATGTTATTGTTTTATATAAGTGCTTATATTTGTTTAAAAGCTTATCAACTTAAGAGCTTATAATTGTAGCTATTTCTCTATTACCATACTTTTGCCGGTCTCTGTATAACCTAATGTGTACACAACTTATAAGATTATTAAAATAAAAAAAGATTTCTTAATGTGTTTGATATGTTAACACGAAATGAACATAAATACAAACTACTGTACGACACTCTCAAGAGTGTACGAAACATAATATCATAATATTTTGCATTATACTTTTTATTAAAATTTGACAAGCTATTGAATGTCAAAAAAAATTTAGCATATAATTTTCGCTCAATTTATTTCGATAATATTATTATTTATCGTAATAATATTGATCTTACTAGTAAGTGAATAGTAATACATTCAGTATAAGTTTTTCATGTAATTAATATACTGTAATATAAATAGAGTAGCAATGTAGAATAAATATTATTTTACTAAACATATACTTACTTTAAATGTTTGGCTCATAAATGAGTAGAGAATGGGGTTCACACAACTGCTACACATTGACAACCAATGAGCAAAAAAGTAGCAAATAATGATAGTATAGAAATGTGTGCTGGTACAGAAATCAAACAATGATGGGCTTATATGATGTGCCAACTGGTATAACTTGATGGGTGTCCAACATATTCCGTACAGAACTACGACCGCAAACATGAGTCTAATTGTCTAATATTATAGATATAAAAATAGATGAGCACTTAAATAGCAAAATTGTAATAAATATTTGAATATAAGAATTGAATGAATGACTAAAACATATGAAACAAACCTTAACTTTGTTACGAATGGTCTTATTCTTCCTGAGGATGTGTCCACCGGTTGTCTTTGGGTCGACTAATAGTCGTTTAGTGATCGCTAAATAGCTGAATGTGATGACAATAAAGGGCAACAAATAGGTGAAGACAAAGTTGTAAATGACCACAACTTTCATTTCGTAATCAGTCATCCCTTCGGCGTAACTGCACTCATAGTACGTCTCGTTGTCCATCGGATTAGTCGTATTGAGCATAAAGGGATTCGTTTTGGTGTTTGACAACCAAAACGCTGAGTACATTGAGCCCAATATCCACGACAAATACAGTATAAGCTTTGAATGACTGCTGACCCATAAGAATACACACGAAAATGGTTGAGTCGTCGCTAAATATCTTTAAAGGGATATAACTTATATCATATAAGCATACAAATTAATTGTCATATAATAGCAATACATGAGTATCATTAACAAAAATCAAATCATGTATTTCTTTAATTATTATTAATATAAGAATATGAAATATGAAATCCTCTCCTGACTAATAGTAATATCTATCATAGTTGTGTAATCATATGCCATACCGTACTGTACAATAAATGAGATACACTAGCACAAAAATAGTACTGTATACCAGTACAGAGTATAATACAAGCATTTTATAACAAATCCTCTGTACCAGTAAAAGATTTATGGATTAATCAAATAATAAGTATAATAAGTATCTTATATCTTATGAATTATTAAGTGCAGGAAAAGTAAAATGTAAATGACTTGTATTTAATTCTACCATATATGCATTATATTATAAAAATTGTGTTAAATTACTATAATTAGTGAATTTATTAAAAATGATATAATAATATAGAGAATGCAAATACCTCTCAATTCCGATGACTGTTAGTGTGAATGAAGTTACAAAAACTGACAGCAATTGTGTGGACTGTGCGACGGGACACAACCAGTGCGGGAACACCCACTGGCCGTACATAACACCCGTGAAACTGAAGGGCACACAAAAGACGGCCAAAATAACGTCAGACGCGGCCATATTGATGAGCCATTGGTGCAAATTATTTGACGGCTGTTTCACCAGTATCTCCACTATTATGACCAAAGAATTGCCTATTAATGCCACCAAAGACGTCAATATATGCAAAGTGATTAAAAATATTTCCCATTCTTTGGTCACTACTTTTAGTGGTGAATCAAAACAACTATTATTATCCGATAAACTATTATTTAAATCACTTTCAGTCAACTCCAATATTTGGGTTATATTTAAAGTATCCATTTTTAAGCCATTCAAGTCAATATTGGTTTCTCATCTAAAGTGTTATTATTATATTATGCTATTAATTTTAGTATACATTTATAAGTAGTGTCCGGAATAAGTGGAAAAAAGCGTAGAAAATACACTGTTTTTAAACCGATTTGGGTTAAATATAGCCTGAGTGAACAGACATATGCACTAATCCCTGTACTAATCGCTGATAGTGTAAACTTTTAATATGATGTGCTAATCACTGATAAGAGAGAGATTAAGTTAAATGAGTTATACTAAACCCAAGTCAACTGAAAACAGTGTTTCTCTTCCACTCATTCCGGACACTATTTATAAGTATAATAAATACATTTTACAAAGTTTGAAAAATGAACAAAAAATTATTATGCCGATCAGTTATTAAACTTCTTTATTTATTTGAAATATTTCAGTTAACATTACTTTCTAACGTACGTCTTCAATCATGAAAGTAATATATAAAAACTTAAATTAAAAATACTATTATTATTATTCAACAACGATGAGATATAATAATAATAATCCACAAAAATATTTTGAATTTTGTAAGAAGCTTTGATTAAAAATATATAATTTGAGATACAGTATGGATTCACAAAGTATTTAATCACAGCTTTATATAGTATACTGTTATGTTTGGCTGCATTGAATGTCTGGCAACTGAATCTGCGCTCTAATAATGTCTTATATACCGTAATATTATATGAATAGAAAATGATTTATATATAGAGGGACATAAACTGCTCAAGTTATTATTATAACACCATTGTCTGCATATATTTCACCAATTCTTATACTTTATATTTTAGTCAAAATAATTGAAAATGTTACAAAATTGATAATTATTTTTTATACTCTCAGTTTTGGTTTAAATATGAATATTAAAAATTATTAATAGAAAGAGATTATTTTAATATTTAGTATTTTCTAGTTTTAAGTAGTTTAAAGCTAGATTTAAAGAAAATCAATTAAATGTTATTTTGTTATATAATATTTTTAAATAATTAAAAACAAATAAAAATTTAAACTAGATAATTATTTGGAGCACAATTATAAATAAATACTTTGTATTATATCAATAATTACAGTATATAGGTTATAACTAGGAATGAAAAAAAAGTGGGTATCCATTAAATGAAAGACCCCTCAAATAATCTATTAGTAATAATTTTTGTTTGTAAAAAATCTCATCAAATGAATTTAATTTATTTTATTTTATACAAATATTCATTATTATTGATTCAAAATGAACACAAGCTTAGCAAATAATATGACACATACTGTAGTTTTAGATAAAATATTTAAGTTTATTATTCAGAGATTGTTATGCCTTAAAGAAAGCTTATCAAGTTAAATGAATGAGGTATGAGTATATCAAATAAAAATGAATTTTCAATGCATTAATAAATTTTGTGACAAAAGTTATTATTGGTAAAAATTACTAATAAATTATAATATTTGAGGGGTCATTCATTTAATGGATACCCACTTTTTTTTCATTCCTAGTTATAA